TCAACTTTTACGAAAGTCCATTTTTCCTCCCTGAGCTCCAAAACTGGGCAAAACACATCCCTTAACTCTTACAAATGTCCATCTTACCTCCCTGACCCTGTTATAAGCAGTTTTGAGGGCGGTTTTATCTTTATCTTTTTTATTTTTTTTTCCTGAATCTTTGAAAAATCATAGTAAATCACAGAAAAATCATAAAATGAAAAAAATCTAATTTTGTTGGACTCCACATGAGTAGATCAACACAGTGAACATATAATATGGTATGCTTTAGTACAAAGTTTTTGTTGTGACTTTATATCTATGTTTTTCTATAATTAATTAGAATAATTCATAGCTACAGTTTATATGGTCTAATTGTGATGAAATTTTTATGGTTGGCTAATTATTGTATGATTGAACTGTAGTAAAAATTTCATACTCATTGGATCATGTATAGCTTACTTATAGATTTATTTATATTTAACAAGCATAAACCTAAATAAAATCTATAACTAAGTTATACATGATCCAATGAGTATAAAATTTTTACTACAGTTTAATCATACAATAATTAACCCACCATAAAAAATTTACCACAATTGGACCATAGAAACTACAGCTATGAATTATTGCATTTAATTACAGAAAAACATAGATCTAAATCTACAACAAAAACTTTGTACTAAAAGCATATCATATTATATATTCACTCTATATATCTACTCATGTGAAGTCCAACAAAATTGGATTTTTTATTTTATAATTTTTTTGTGATTTACTATGATTTTTCAAAGATTCAACCGAAATAAATAAAAAAGAAAAAGACAAAACTGCTTTCAAAACCGCTTATAACCAGGCCAGGGAGTTAAGATGAACAGTTTTAAAAGTTGAGGGAGGTGTTTTGCCTGGTTTTGAAGTTCAGGGAGAAAAAACAGACTTTTGCGAAAGTTGAAGAGGTAATGTTGACTTTTTCCTTTTTTTTTAAAAAAAAAGCCCAAGATTAGATGTGGGTCTTGCAGCGGCAGCAAAAGGAGGCCGCCACTGAATCCAACAAACCGAACAGGCCCATGTTCTAATTCTAACTACACACTCGGCCTCCGCTTTCCCCTCACCCAGCGGCACGGCCCAACTCAGCTTGCCCCGACCAAAACGAGACCCAAGCAAAGACACCCGTGGAGCCCAGCCCACCCGAGAGCTGCATCAGCGGCCCACCAGCACAACGGACGCCGTGCCACTCACGGCCGGTGGAGACGGAGAGCGTAGGCGACGACGGCCTGGCCCTGCCATCTTGCGGAGTTGCGCGGCGCGGCATCGGCCACCGAGGCGCGGCTTCCTGAGTCTTGACCATCCTGCTGTTCTGCCTTCTCCGTCCTCGCCTTCGAGAAGGCCGCAGAGCGAAGGAAACTGCAGAGTGCTAGTACTTCCTACAAAGAACGGGCACCTGGCCGGGGGAGTCAGGCCACGTTTCTTGGCGCGGAAGAAGGAAGAGGGAGAGAGAGAGGGAGGGGAAGACGGAGATGTTTATCCAGAAGGTGATTATTATGTCTCCAGACCTTGTTAATCGTGCAGATAATGCTCGAGCAGACACAATTTTGCTCTGGTTGCCTTCACGCGTGTGTGATCTGCGTTGATTGCGTTTTCGTGGGGGTTGCAGGCATGGAGGACGGCGGCGTTTGGGCTCTACGGCTTCACCCAGTTCACCAAATCCGGGTTCCTGTAAGCCTCATTCCGCCCCGGCCCCTCAATCATCTCCCCAACTCGCACAATTTTGTGAGACGAGACTGCGTTCCTTGCCGTCGAATGCTAGTTTATTGCGAGTCCGACCTTGTTGGAATTGATTGTTCCTTAAATTGAATTTAGCCTAGGATTGCTAAGCTGAGCGCCCCTCGGGATCCAAATTTTAGCATGGCACTGGCTGTTTAGCTTAATTTCATCAGGATTCAACCCCAATTTTGAAACGGTAATTGAAAGGGTTTTGTGGAACAGGAAGGATCAGCAAAACCTGATCCTCAAAATTGGCCGAAAGTTGTCATCGACATTACAGGGTTCAAAATTCGGCTACTCTAAATGATTAAATTTTGTAGTGTATGGCAGCACAATAGATCCCTCTGAAACGAACAGGACAGTTTTTTTTTTTATGATCAGGCTAACGTGCCTTTTATTACAGGGAGCACGCAAAGAAATTCAGAGAGGAGGATATGCAGATCCGGTTGGATGGGAAAAATTGCCTAGTAACTGGAGCGAATTCTGGCATTGGTTTTGCTACAGCTGAGGGTTTGGCTTTACAGTATGGATCTATTCCTTGTTAAGTGATGATTTGTTCTGGAAAAGAAATGGTCAATTTACTGATTTCATTATGTGGTTCCCTATAAAAAATATTGGTTTGTATTCTTCTAGTGGTGCTACCGTCTATATGGTCTGTCGTAGCAAGGAGAGAGGGGAGGCTGCTCTCAACCAAATAAGATCCAAAACTGGCAATGCAAATGTTCATCTGGAGGTATGGTGCTTGCTGATTCTCTTACATGTTTGGAAGATTCAACTGTTCTTCATGACAATGTGCGTTGGTTATGAGAAAATAAGACTCAATACTATTATCATGTGGCAGATATGTGACCTTTCATCTATCAATGAAGTAAAATCGTTTGCAACAAAGTTCACTTCAATGGATAAACCACTCCATGTCTTGGTGAGTACTGTGTCTCAAACACACTGCAGTTTTGCTTCTTTCCTAGCTGCTTTTAGTTTTTGTGTCAATGCTTTAAAGTTTCTCTAAATCAGATTAACCAAATGTTGGAATAAAACTACCATTTTGCCATCTAGGTAAACAATGCTGGCTTACTAGAGAACAAGCGTGAGACTACAGCAGAAGGGTAAGCGATATGTTGGTTTATTTGCAAACAGCCTATTAATTTATACATCATATGAATAATTTTATCTAGATAATTTATCACTAAAATTATATGCTTGCCCTTTTCTTTTCCCTTTTTGGAACAGGCTGGAGCTCAATTTTGCTGTCAATGTAGCTGCTACATACACTTTAACAGAGCTAGTTATGCCGTTATTGGAGAAAGCAGCACCAGATGCTCGTGTGATCACAGTTGCATCAGGAGGCATGTACACCGAGCCACTGAACAAGGACTTACAGGTAATTTTTTTTCTATGTGCCTTCATTTGCCTTTGTTTACATCATATAAACCTGTAGTCTGAAAAGATGAACTATGATGTGGAGCAAGAAAGCCCTTTTTTTTAAGTTTGTGATGAAACACGCCATGAGCGTTCATTTGAGGCGAAGTTGGCAAACCGAGGAAATAGGAGTGAACAGATCTGCAAATCAAGACATCAATTTGCATTGGATGTTGTGCAATTCCTTACTTGGGAGAGCTTCCAGATGTTGAATTGTTTTACACTTATATCATTGAAAGTATATTCCTTTACCATGAGATGCCTGTAAGGGAACAAAGGGTGAAATTTGTCAGGTTTTGTTTGTTACAGAAAATGAACTAGCATTTGAATGTACTCCTTTTCGCTCTCATATGATAATGTCAATCATCATACGTCTCATTTTTCCCCATGTCAGGCTCTTAGTCTTATCTCATTTCCATTATGCTTAATCTCATCATCTCTCATTGCTTAAAAACCTCAGTTTACTGAAGGCACCTTCGATGGGACACAACAATATGCTCGAAACAAAAGAGTTCAGGTCTGTCCAGATTGAACTATGCATTCTCTGCCCAATTCTGTATGAAATCAAGATATTATTATGCTAATGGAATATCTGTCTCAGGTGGCACTCACTGAATGGTGGGCTGAGAAATACGGCGACAAGGGAGTTGGTTTCTACTCCATGCATCCTGGATGGGCTGATACGCCTGGCGTTGCCAAGAGCTTGCCCGGATTGTCAGAAAAGTGGGGTTCGCTGTCCTTGTTCATGCTTGCCCTGTTATAGTTCTGTGCTATCAAGTATTGATAATTTCCTGGTGCAATCCATAATTTCAGGTTGTCTGGAAACCTGAGAACAAATGATGAAGGAGCTGATACAGTGGTTTGGTTGGCGTTGCAACCTAAGGAGAAGTTAGCCTCAGGAGCTTTTTACTTTGACCGGGCTGAAGCACCAAAACATTTGAAGTTTGCTGGGACTGCAGCTTCGCATGCTCAGATAAACTCCATCGTTGATAGCATTAGATCCATCTGTGGCTTCTCTGTTAAAGGTTGATCTGCCAAAGCAAAAGTGATATATAGTTGATATAATGGGACCTGATAAAGGTTGAGTTGCCAAAGTAAAAGTGATATGTAGTTGATATGATAGGAGCATGAATGCATGATTTTGATTCATAAAACCACAGAAAATATGCACCAGCCGGGAATCGAACCCGGGTCTGTACCGTGGCAGGGTACTATTCTACCACTAGACCACTGGTGCTTTTGACGAAAAGCTTGGTAGGTTCATTACTACTTTGTTAGGAGCAGTCAAACGTGGACATTTCCAGTTTTCCTATTACATACTCCCCCCTGTATTATCTAATAGTAATTACAGTCAAATAGTGACCATCAAGTATACGATGTGTCATGTGTGGATGAAATCTAGGTGAACAACAACTGCAGCTGTTTATTATTAGATATGAAATCCAACCAACAACGATAAACCCAATTGGTTAGGAATCTGAATCTCATAGCACTTCCTCCTAAATTCATATAGAAATCCACATTTCAAATATCCTTTATGTAACAGAAAGCTGATCATCCACATCTATTGGCTTTCGATCTCAAGTTACCAAACTGTTACAAAAGTCACTGTAATTCACAGCTCCACAAGTCCCATGCATGCATGTCTTCTCAACAATCAAGAAGCACAGGCATGCTTTTGGAAGCTACTACTTCTACCAAAAAAAAAACAGATAAAATGGTACAAACCTGGAAACAAAACGTAATCCTTGACAAAAGAAATGAAGCACGGATATGTATATATAGAGAGAAGAACAACGTAACAAGAAGAGAGAGAGAGAGAGCCTCCGACTGAATCATCATCGTTTGGTGGGGAGCGTCAAGATGCGGAGGTTGACGAGCACGGGCAAGACGAGGACGGCGATGAGCACGATGCTGGCGAGGATGGCGATGCACATCCACTTGCGGCTGCTCTTCTGGTACTCGCGCGCGGACTCCAGCTCGACGGTGCCCCTGCGCACGAAGGAGCTGGCGTGCGCGACGTGGCTCTCGATGTCGTTGAGCTGGTGGCCCTGCGCCTCGACGAGCGCCGCCATGTCGAGGAACACCTGGTGCAGGTCCATGAGGCTGCGCTCGATGTCCTTCACGGCGTCGTGCCGCTCCTGGATCTCCGAGATGGTGTCCATCACCTGCCCGCGCCCTTGCTCCTGGATCGCCTTCTGCAGGAACGACTCGCTCTCCCCGGACGAGATGAGCGCCTCGATCGTGCTGTCCTCCGGCTTCTCCCCCGTCACCGTGTAGTACCGCCGCGCCACCGTCTCCTTATACTCCGCGGCCATCCTCGCCCTCAGCCCCTGAATGCATATAATTGCGCAGTTCGTTCGTTACAGGACAGGTACGTGCACATGAAGAAACAAATTGTACCATATATACCTGGAAGTCGTCCATGAGGTCCTTGAGCTTCTTGCCGAGGCCGGCGACGACGGAGGTGCGGGTGCGGTCGGTGGAAGACCCCGGCCCGCAGCCGGGCACCTTGCGTGAGGTGACGTTGGAGCGGTCGAGGTCCTCGAGCTTGCCCTTGATGGCCTTGGCGCGGCGCAGCACCTGCTCGACGTCCTTGTCCATGCGGGAGCGGAGGGACTTGACGGTGCGGGCGTCGTGCGCCGTCTTGGTCTCCTCGTTGGTGGACTGGAGGCCCTTGTACATGCCCTCCAGCCCGCGCATGTCCTCCTTCACCGCCTCCACGTCCTCGAAGAACTTGTCCAGGTTAACCACGCTCTCGCCGCCGGCATCCGTGCCCCCCGCCGACGTCGCCGGGCTCGAGTCCGCATACTTCTTGAACGAGCTCGACGAGAACAGGTCGTTCATCTTGGATTGGAGACAACACAATCTACCAGGGCATGCAGCAGAAAGCCAGGCAGGAGCTGAACAGGAAAATACAATGACGGAGCGAGGTCGAGCTACGGCGAGTTTAGTTTCAAAGAATGGCCATGGCTTGCCTTCCTAGATGGATATATGGCGTCCAAGAAATCAGCAAATGGCGGGAAGTGGTAGAAAGGAAGGCCTCCCTCCCCTCTAGGAAACAAGTGTTTCTCTCTCCCTAATTGTGGCAGTACGGCATGCATGGTCTCGCCAGTGTCTTGCTCCGGTCATTCCAACGGCAGGTGGCGAGAGCCGTTTTCTCACGTGTGCGACCGACCGCTTGCACTACCATGGCCACACGCAGCAATCTTTTTTTTTATAACCAAAAGGCAGGCAACTACTAGCCTGTTTGATACAAGAGAGCTAATTGTTAGCTAGCTAAAAATTAATTAAATGTAACTTTAGTGCATCCGATCCAAATAGGAGAGCTATTTTTTAGTCAATTCTTCCGCTAGATGTTAACTAACTAACTAGCAAAACTTAGCCAATTTAAACTACCTCATCCAAATAGGCCCTAAGTGCCAAAAGAAAATAAAAAAGTTACCCGCGCCCAATAAATGGTGCAATAGAAGGCACCTCGCTCTGGCTGTATACCAAGCTACCACCTTGTCTTTGATTTGGTTAATCATAGTTGCATGTGCTGAAATCTCTCGAGTTTCTTTGAAGCCAAAGTTCCCAAACCAATGTCAGAACGAGGGAGAGTGTAGTGCCTTCTTAGGGGCCCCTTCCCATACGCTATCAAATGCACTGTATCTCAAAATCACTGACTTTTGTCATGATGCTTCAAAGTTCTTATTATCTGCCTCAATAACTGCTTTTCAGTTTTCACCACGGTATCTATTCAAACAGGTCACAACAGAATGATTATCACAAGTAAAAAATAGAGCAAACGCATATTTATGCACTGATCTGGTGCTTATATCTCCAGTGAATGGGAACAATCTGCTTGAACCTCATTCTGTTCAAGAAAACCCTCTCAGAGAAAACAGTGGTCAGCCCAGAAATGAGTAAAATGCAAATGCCCCAGCCTGCTGGCACACAGTGCCGGAAAGAGAATGAGCCCTGTAAACAATATCATCATGTATTAACTTCCATTAAAGAACAGACAACCTGAGAGATCCCAATGTGAAATATGAACATAATTATACCTTGGAACAATCTTTTATAAATATTATCTTTTCAGATAGTCAAGGCACAAATCAAATTGTGCAGGGAATAAAATGCATTCAAGAAAAATTAGAATCGTAGACTGGACAGTGGTTAATCAAAGGATACTAATGGAATTAGCAGCAATTAACCCAACAGCTCCAGAAGATTTAGTAAGAACAACATTTAGAATGATGTAAATAACCGAGAACAGAAGCAACATATCATTTGACTAACTATACAGATGCATAATATAAGCTAAGTTAAACATTAACGACACAGTCCACCGAGATGAGGGGATCAGTGCAAGCTCTTTGCAGAGCAGGTGAGACGGGACATTGCCGAGGGTGGATCACCAGTGACGGAGTTCCATCAACTCACCAGTAGAAATTATTCTTGGAATTCACAATTTCATGACAAAAATTGGTATCTACAAAATTCTCATCAACAATTTGTTTGTAAAGTCAGCTGGGGCAAAATTAAGTTCCCTTTGGCACGGCTCATCCAAAACGGCTTCACCGGTGAAGCCAGAAAAACTGGCTTTTCTCGGCTTCTAGTTCATTTTAACCCCGGCTTACAAAACAGCTTCACGTTACAGATTTACGCCTCAAAGTTTAAAGCTGTCACACAGAGAGTTCAGCAAGAGAAATATCACAGCCAGCAAAAGCACTGGGCGAGAACCTTTTTCAAACACTGGGACAGAGTCAACAAGAAGAGAAACCAAATAAGGTCGCAAATGGCACAGAGCACAAGAACTGAGGGATCAGACCAGATATCAGCAATATCAGCAAAATGTTACACTGAAGTTTGATTGGTGAGAACTGACTTGATTGACCTGACCACAAGCAGGCATCAAGAAAGGAAAAAAACAGAGATACTAGCAATTTAATCTCTGCACAAAGCAGTAACCATCATCTGCTTGTTAATGCAGAAATACCACACAAGTAGTAATAACCATCTCAAACATGTGATTGGGAAGCAAGACGAACATAACAATCACTCAGACAAATTAACTTCTCGTTAATGATGTCATAAAAAACATATGTTTAAGAACATAATCATACAAGCATACATACGAATCAACAAAAGGGGAAGGATTTACACCAACCATGCTGGCACTGTTTAGTATTTCCGATAACACACGGTCACTTGGGACTTGCACGATTCATGAACTAATCAAACAAAAACAGAGATTACTCATGAACGAACAAGCGATGCATATCCAGCGCAGAATCACGAAGCAGCTACTCGTATCCGATTCAAGCTCGGGCCGGGAGCTCCATCTCCGGAAAGAGGATGCGGATGAGGCCCAGGCTCTTCCCTGCCGTGGTTGGCCTCGGCATCTCCTTCGTTGTCGCGGCGACAGTGGCGGTGGGCGGAGGCAGGGACTGCGGCGGTGTCATCGGCGACGGAGACGGATTGATCAGCCTGCCTTGGTGCGGCGCTACGTATACGGCGCTCTTGGGATCACCGCGTGGCCAGTTGGCGTCGTAGACAACCTCGTAGCCTCCGTCGGTGGACGACGACACGATCGTGGCTTTGAGGCAGAGCACGAGAACCTGCCCCGTCTTCAGCGTCGCAGTCCTCGTGCGGACACGAACCACCGTCCCGGGCTTCATATGCGTGGGGACACCAATACTAGCTCCGCGCTCGGAACTGGCCGAAGATGGGGCGGACCGAGGCGGTGGCGGTGGCGGTGGCGGAGAGGCCGGGGTGCAGCGCGACGAAGCGCGAGGCCTGGGCTGCGGGGACGCGTCGGCGACTGTTTAGCCTCGGGAATGGGCGATGGTCGATGATGGGACATCCCGGTGCGGTGGACGAGGGCATGGACCCCGGACGGCGTCGCTCGAACCATGACGCGGCGGCGGCGGCGACACGGACGGCTTCTTGGTGATCGACCTCGTGGGCGCCAAGGGCTTGGACTTCCTGCGCTGGAGCTCGCGGCGGATGCTCCGCATGCCGGCGGAAGAGGAGCGAGGAGGAAGATACATCGCCATGGCAGAGGAGGGCGACGGCGAGGGAGCATGGAGCAGAGGAATTACGCGCCAGGAGAAGGGAAGGGGAGGGCGTTGGATTTAAGCAGCTGGACTGGATCCAGATCTGGCCCAGCTACGCGGTTTCGAGTCCGACCCGAAGTTGGATGGATGCATGGGCGGATGGGCCAGTTGCCGTGGCTTTCGAGTCCGACCCGAAGTTGGAAGTTGCCGTGAGGGCCGAGTCGAAGTCGACTGAATTAAACGAGGCCGGATCTTTTTTCTTTCCAGCGGTTGGGCTCTTGCGACTTGGGGTCATCTATGTTACTATTGAATCTCTCGGCAACAGTACGCCACACTTCCGATGGCCTGACGCAAAATGTGTGAAGAGTGAGAGGAATATTGGAATGGCTTGGGCAGGTTAAGCTGTTAATGGAGACAGAGTCAGACACATGATCCGTCGACGCCACATCGCTGACGGCCGGAACTAGGAGGCGAACGGGCGAACGGCGATGGAAACAGACCGAAATTGGCCGCGAGGTAACTTTAGCGGCAACGTATCAGGTGTAAACCAATCAACTTGTGTAAATTTGGAAACTACCAATCAGGACCACTAGATACTGATCCAATGGATGAGTTGAGAGGTGAGATTTTTTTCGCTTAAGCCGCCCACCCGTCGGCTTTTTTTTTTTGCGCTTAAGCCCCGGCCCTCACCCCATCCATTGGATCTACATCTAGTGGTCCTGATCGGTAGTTCTCAAATTTACAAAGGTTAGTTGGTTTGCAGCTGATATGTTACCTTATTCCTCACCCGCTAGCATGTCATTCGTCCTGCACCTTTGTCTAAAGTGGATGGAAACCCACCTTCTGTAGCTTCCTGATCGTAATGGGGATGCCCAAGCACCTAATGGGGAAATGTTCTTTTTTTTTCATCTGTGAAGCTTGACAAAATGTCGTCTAAGTTGAGACTATCACATCTGATCAGTACGACCGAGGATTTTTTTGCATTTGTGCAAAGGCCAGATACCTCCCCGAACCAATTTAGGATTTGCTATAGGACTTGTAGATCCTTCTTGACAGGCCATGTGAAAAATCACTGCATCATTAGCATACATGGAGGTGCATTGCCATGCAAAAGACCCCTTTGAACTTTGAGATGAGCCCTACTTTAGTTGTGTAGTAGATGAGTTGTAGAGGGTTGATGGCAAGGATGAATAAAAGTGCGGATAGTGGATCACCCTTTCTAAGCTCTCTATGGTGATATATAGGGTGCCAGAGATTCCATTAAGTGAGCAATACTTGCGAAGTTAAGGTAGATAGCAAGCTTGACACCCAATTCCCCCGCTAATAGAAAAGCTATGTTGTTGCATGAGTGAGAGGGTAGTCCCATTATGTTGAATCAAAGGCCTTAGTAATGTCAAATTTTCCAAGGAGCATCGACGTTTTGTTTTGATGAAAATGACATGTTATGTTCCGGATGTATTGAAAAATACTGTGCATGCTTTTGCCACGTTTGAAGACACTTTGGTTTAATGTGATCAGGTTGGCATAAATGGTGCAAAGCCAGATTAGTAAGATTTTGGAGATCAGCTTAGTGATACTATGGTAAGACTAATTGCTCTATAATTCATGACTGTGTCAGTCCCGTCCTTCTTAGGTATCAATACTATGTTTGTGGTGTTTAGCTTCTAATTTTCTTCTTTGGTTTTATTGGATTGTTCGGTGCCATTCTTGGTCACCCACCGGATCATCTAGTGAGCCATGCTTGCCGCCTAGATCATCTATAGATTAAAGTATCTTACCCATTTTTTCCCTGGTGATCACATAGCCAACATCTATTCATCTGGTGACCCATACATTCATTGTGATTCTTCTTTGGAATGATTAAAGTATGTATTTCACGAAATCATTGGATAATGTATTTTCACTCTCGTAGATCATCTAGTGATCACAATTTTGATCTTTGTTCATCTTTAGTTCTACATGTTTGTCCGATGTTCCGCTCTATCACCCACAAGATCATTCGGTGAGTCCCAAAGCTATTTCGCTTGTTTTCTTCATTCGTTTCATCCGCTCTTTAGTGTAGTGGTTTGCTAGCATTTTTCCTAAAGTTAGTAGGCCATCTAGTGGCTACTTGAATTGGAAGAGGCATGACATCAAGATAAAGTGTTGGAAATCAAAATTGGGTGCACCCACATGGGAAAAGTTGTTACTAGTTTCCTAAATATTGCTTACACATTTTTGTGAATGTGTCTATTTATAAAATGGACTTTACCCTTGCATATCTCTTACCGAGTTGATCAAAATGGATCCCGACGAGAGGGTTAAGGATATCACAAGATCGAATCAGTCCCTGTAGTAGAATTCTGCTTAGCTCGAATTGGAAACTAGCTTAGTTGTTTGTCAGCCTAATCCAAGTTGGAAGCTAGATTTTGACATTTTTTTATATTATTTGTATGAGTTTTGAATCCTAGTGGAACACAACCTTTCCTCCTTATAAGACCTTCCCTCCTTATAAGGGCCCATTTGGCAGGGCCCTAGATCTGACTCCGTCTTCTGTGGAGCTATGCTAAGCGATCATCTAAACAGCAGCTACTTGCAAGTAGTTCGGAGGAGCTGGAGCTGTTTTTTTACTGAGGAGACTGAGCCACGAAAGCCACAAAAATTTAGCTTCTTCCTGCTCTTCCTCACAAACTTGACATAAATATTACAAAATTATCACTGGAACCATTTTTACCACCATTAGAGAAGGTACTGCACACGAGAAGTTAGAGCTAGAGCCCTGCCAAAAAGTCCTAACGCAAAAGGCCATGACCGACTGATGTTACAAATCCAATCGAATCAAATCAAATTAATCTACCTTCACTTTTTATCATGCTCTTTTCCTTTGCTGTACTTTTCCAAATTGTATTCACTGTTAATCTTTTGATTGATACTGTGACCAGAGGTGGTATCTTATGCTTTTTTTTCCTTTGCTGTACTTTCCAAATTGTACTCATTATATTGTTAATCTTTTGATTGATACTATGACCAGAGGTGGTATCCTAGGTTTTCTTGCCGACTTAAAGCAACCCAGCAATGTCCATGCCCTGAAGGGCTCCTTTGCGGCAAGGGTTTTGATGGCTCTTTGCTAGTTTGCTTATAATAAACTTTGTCTGTTATCGCATAAATGTGATACATTTACCCTTTCGCTATTGTTTACTCCCTATGTCCCTGGAAGAATCTATTCCTAGCAACTTTAGGACAAATTAGCAAATAAGGAAAAAGACTATGTTACCCCTGGTTGGACATCAATATCTCTATAGTTACCGAGAGCGATTGAGTCTTCCAATACAATTAAGAGCTGTCGTTTGGAGTATTCAAAGGGCTTTACGTAGTCCAACACTCGAATCAGAAGGGGATTGGGGAATTTGGGAGCAAGGGGCGTGAAAGAGGGAGACATGGAGGGGCTATGATTTAATGCGACCAGGACTTTGAGGAGGAATAAATTGGGTTGATACACCATCTACTCTAGAGATTGATTCTTTTGTGGACAAAATTTTGCTTTAGGAATTGATTCTTTTAGGGACATATGGAGTATTTGCTTGTAAACCTACCTAGCAACGTGGTGACGGTGACGTGCTGTTTGGCAATCTACACCATGCTCTAATGTTTTGGTGTTTGGCCCATCTTTTAGAGTATCTCCAAGAGTATCCAATATTTTCTTCCTAAAAACATGAAGTTTTACAACTCCTAAAAAAATATTGGAAGGAATAAAGATGGTCATCTCCAAGAGTTTCTAATAATCCAGTCTTAAAATATAGAAGACAATTTTACATCAGGAATCCTATACTATTTCTAAATTATCCTAACCACTTTTATATATTCTTTCTCTCTTGTACATTTGTATCATAAACCCTTTATTTCTTACTCTTTATTCTTTCCACGCCCTTCCACCTACTCGGAATAGGGTGACTTTTTCAAAGTTCTAAAAGATTAGGAGTCGTTGGAGAGAGGTTTTTTCTCATCTCATTAAAAATCAAGGAATAGGAAAAGATTTAGGGAACCGTCGGAGATGCTCCGACAAGCAATGCATATAATTTTTTACGCGAACACAGTTCTACACGAAGTCAAAATCCACTCTACGCGAACAACATCACAACCAATGCCAATAGCGCCGCCAACAACAGAGCTGGCGCGGCCCGACCACTGGCGCTGATTATCTGGACCGGGAACAGGCAGCCGCGCGTGGAGGCGTTCTTATCTGTGATCTTGGCGAGCCCGTCGAGGTCGCAGGCGCGCACATCCTGGTCCTGCATCTGGAAGTACATGTTGAACGCGTAGGAGATGTTGCTCTTCTCGTCCAGCCCATTGCAGGAGCAGACATAGCCGAGCGCCGTGCAGTCGCCGCTCGCACATGCATACTGGATGTTGCCCGGCAGCTTCGACTTGTCCATGGCCCCGTCGTCGAACACGCACCACTGGCTCGGGAGGTACTTGACGTCGGTAACTGGGGAGAGGAGCTTGTCGTGGCCCTGCCCCGTGAGGTCGATGGGGAACATGGGCTTGCCGTCGTAGGTGAAGATGCCCCAGTGCCGCTCGAAGTTCCCCGGCGCAATGCTCTTCATGTCCTCGTCGAATAGGCCGAACAGGTAGACCTCCATCTTGCCCTTCCGGACCGGGCTGCCTTCACGGTGTCGCCGACGCCGGCCTCGTCAAGTGCCTTCTGGATGTTCTTGAGCGCCGGGAAGGTGGTCTTCATGAATGACCCGTTATAGGCCTTGAGAAATGGCTCGTTCCCCACTGCCACATACCTATTCTCATCAAGCAAACAACAACATTTCGTTCGCCATTGAGAAATGGCTTTGCAGGGTGATGCGAGAGGCAAATGTAGGTTACGTACTTGAGCTTAAGCTTGTCACCGTAGGAGGTGACGTTCTCCTTGACCCAATCCTGGGCATTGCCGTAGCTGCTGCTCATGGTCTCGAGCATGTCGTTGGGGATGCCGAGCATGACCTCAATGCCGGAGTCGACGAGCGCACCGACGGGCCAGGGGTCGGCGTCGAACATCTTCACCCTGGCGATGCCGTTCTTCTTGAGCATCTTCACCACGGAGTCGGGGAGAAGCGGGTGCGAGAGCTGCGAACCCCAGTTCACGCCGACTTCCACAATGTTGTCGTCGTCGGCCATGGCCGCCGGCGACGATGCCGCTAGCAGCAGCACGGCCGCGCCGGCTAGCAGCTGCAGAAACCGAGCCATGCCGCGTTGTCGCCTGATCATTTTCCTTGCGTTTGGATGGATCACAGCTTTGGGAGGTCAGGATTCGGTGGAGCTCGTGAGCTGCATCTCTCCTCTCCTCTAGATGGAGGTAGAGGAGAGGAAAATGGCGGGTAAAACGGTTCCACAGAGACGTGGATGCCTCGGCCTCAGAAAAAGGACGAAATAATACTAGAGTGGACCTTTCTGGAGACGTCCTCGTTTACTAGCTACTACAGCTTTCATTTCGTTGCTGATTTACGAAGAAGTGCTGCTGGTTGGTTTGTATGAGAGAAAAATATTATTTTGACTAGAAATTTACGATCGTTTATGACAAGCCACAGCTAAACGAACAGGCTGTAGTATGGCCAGACACATCGCTGGACATGCAAACGACCTCTATTCCTATTTTCACGCGAGGTTTGCGTGCAACACAAGGTTATTAGGGGAGGGGAAATGCTATGCTCCAGGTGCCTGAGAATTTAGTTATTGCTCAGGCGACCAATCTGGAACGTCCATTTCTGATCGAACCGGCCATAGATCGTCTTCTTCCGTCGGGCACCGGTGACATATTCGATCGCCTGGTAAGTAATCTAATTTCAGGCATCTGACCTTTAGGAGGTGTGAATCAATAATATATCCCAGATTAGTAGTCTTTTGCACCATTAAATAATTCTTATATTTTTACCAAAAAATGAGCTCTAAAAAGCCCGCGTTTTGGCGTAAAATTTCTGGGAGACACATAAATTATTGCCTACTTCATCAGTTTGGACACACTCAGCTTGTTATTTATGGCTAATTATTATTTCAATGGGAAGCGACCAGATACTTCTCTCTGTAAAAATAGAGTTACCTGCCCGTGTACTATGTTTTGGGGAAAGATGATTGCTGAGAGGCTCTATGCCTCAGCACAGAGGTGTTATGCGAGTAATAAATTCCACCATAATAACATAGTTAGGGTCTGGAGAATTTATCAATGACTGCGATCCAGGCTACAGGAATATAATAACGAAGGAAAACTATCTTGGTGTTGTCGGAGATATTTTTAACTACTTTAATTTAATACGGAGAAGGTTTGGACAGGTTACAGCGACCCAGCATACATAAAAAATCAAGATGAAATCATATCGGTGTCATCGAAGAGATCTTTACATTAACATAGAAGTTTTGGACAACTTGTCAATGACTGCAACGTAGCCCGCTTGAAAAAATCAAGGAGAAAAATATACTAGCATAATTTTATTATACTCCAACATATCTCTCCCATGTAGAGGCCCATCAAGCCTAGACATAGGATGGTACTACCATGCACTTCCATTCTGGAATGAAAGAATGATATTTGGTTTAAGTCAAATTGTCTTAAATTTGACTAAGTTTATAAAAAGTAGTATCAATATTTATGAATCTAGATATATATACTGTGCAATATGACATGGGATAAATATTAACCTTTGTATAGTTAACTTTGGTCAAACTTAAGATGGTTTTGACTTGGGACAAGTAAGATTAATAACATTATATTCTTTCAAGTAACAATATATTTCACTTAATTATACTGATCAATCCTTAAACTCAACAGTAGTCAAAACCCCAACACGTGGCATGTACCAGTAGACTATAAAAATCAGTAATACTTGACTTTGGTGCATCACACACCATGTCATGAAGCTTGTATGTATATACATTATAAATAATCCCATCAAGACTTCAACTCTGCAGCACCCAACCACGTACAGTAACGCCTCAGCTTGCAATGGCCACTAGTACCACCACCACCGCAGCGAACCATGCTGCGAATAATGGCGCGCCAGCAGCGGGCCGTGACCACGTTGTCATCTTCCCCTTCATGGCGAAAGGCCACACGCTCCCGCTGCTGCACTTCGCCACGGCCCTCTCGGCGCACCACAAGAGCCTGAGCGTCACCCTAGTCACCACCCCGGCGAACCGCGCGTTCGCCGCCAGCCGCCTGCCCTCGTCGGTGCGCCTCGTCGAGCTCCCGTTCCCGTCGCTGCCGCCGCTGCCAGCCGGCGTCGAGTCCACCGACGCCCTCCCGTCCATGTCCCTGTTCCCGTCGTTCCTGCGTGCCACGGCGCGCCTACGGGAGCCCTTCTCCAAGTTCCTCACGTCGCTCCCGTCCCCGCCGCTGGCGCTCGTCTCCGACTTCTTCCTCGGATTCACGCACCACGTCGCGGCGGACGCCGGCGTCCGCCGCGTCGTGTTCCACGGTATGTCCTGCTTCTCCATGGCCATCTGCAAGGCACTCATCACCCGCCCACCGGCGGCGGCCAGTAGAGGCGTCGACCTCAGCGCTCCGTTCCACGTGCACGGCATGCCGGAGCACGTGGCGATCACGGCGGATGAGATCCCCGACGCTGTGGTGAAGTTTGCGGACTTGGAGGACCCCGTGACCCGCTTCTTCATCGACGAAATCGGCTACTCGGACGTGCTCAGCTGGGGCGTCCTGGTCAACAGCGTCGCCGCGCTGGACGAGGACTATGTTGCGCCACTCGAGTCATTCTACCTGCAGCCTGGCGCCCGCGCGTGGCTCGCGGGCCCGCTGTTCCTCGCGGCCGGCGACATGTCGGAGTCGGAGCTCGAGGAAGAGGAAGAAGACCCCGAGGGCTGCCTTGCCTGGCTCGACGAGAGGGCGGGACGACAGGCGGGATCGGTGGTCTACGTTTCGTTCGGCACGCAGACCCACATCTCCGACGGGCAGCTCGACGAGATAGCCGCCGGGCTGGTGCAGTCCGGCCACCCTTTCCTCTGGGTGGTGAGGTCCGACACGTGGTCACCGCCGGTGGACATGGGGCCCCACGGCATGATCGTCCGTGGATGGGTACCGCAGACAAGCATCCTGGGCCACAAGGCAGTGGGCGGCTTCGTGAGCCACTGCGGGTGGAACTCGGTCATGGAGAGCCTCGCGGCCGGGAAGCCCATCCTGGCGTGGCCGATGATAGCCGAGCAGCACCTGAACGCGAGGCATGTGGCGGACATCGTCGGCGCCGGCATTAAGATTCGAACAAAGCCCCGCGGCACGGCGGCAGTCGACGTCGTCATCGGGAGGGCGGAGGTTGAGGAGAAGGTCCGGAGGCTGATGGACGTGGACAGCGAGGCCGGTAAGAAGATTAGGGCGAGGGCTACATGGGCGCAGCAAGCGGCGAAGTCGGCAGTGAGCGAAGGAGGTGCTTCACGCGTCGCGTTGCAGGAGCTAGTGGACGAGCTTCAACGGACCTACCGTGGCATCGTTGAGTAAGGAAAGATGCAGTTGCTTCTGATCAATGAATATCTATTTTGGGCTATCTGAGAGGCACAATTTAAATATAGGTATTTTTTTTCTGAAAATCTATTTGTAGATATGATTTTCTTATGAGTTTTTTGTTGGAGAAGATGTCGAATATATATTATGGGTATCCTTTTCCTGAAAATCCATTTATAGATATGAATTTCTTATGGGTTTTTTTGTTGAAGAAGACGTCGAATATATATTGAAATATTTACCTATGACACTATCTAAAAGACGAATATATATATTTTACGTGTTGGTACTGGAGATAGCCTCGAGGAGTGCAAAATAGGAAAGATATATACATGCATGCAAAGTACTACACTAGTACTGTGTGATCGCGCAGCTTTATGTAACCAGGGCCTTAGATTGAAAAAAATTTCAACTCGATAAATAGTAGCACTTTTGTCTTATTTGGTAAATATTGTCCAATCGTGGACCAACTAAGCTCAAAAGATTCATCTCGTGATTTCCAACTAAACTGTGCAATTAGTATTTTTTTACTTACATTTAATGCTCCATGCGAACGGCTAAAAATTGATGTGATGAGAGAGAGTGAAAAAACTTAGAATTTTAAGGGTATCTAAACAAGGCCCAAATGAGTAATGCTGAGATTTGAAACTGTCAGGTTTGAAGTCATAAGTTTGAAAATAACTAGTCGTTGGATGTACTGCATTTTTTAAGGTTTCGGTTCTACACTTGTACTGGCATACTACGGCCTTGTTTAGATTAAAGTTAAAATCAGTATTTGGCACTGTAGCATTTTCGTTTGTATTTGACAATTATTATCCAATCATGGCCTAACTAGGCTCAAAAGATTCGTCTCGTAATTTACAATCAAATTGTGTAATTAGTTATTTTTTATCTACATTTAATACTCCATGCATATGTCCAAAGATTTGATGTGATAAAGAGAGTGAAAAAACTTGCAATCTAAACAAGACCTACACGTTGAAATTGATCCGTCCTTTGCGGTGCTTGTGTTTCTTCTTCAGATTATTTATCAGCATGTTCGTTTTGACTTATACGATCATAGATTATAAACTGAAATAGTATTTTTCTCTCATATCAAATTAATCAACAGTATTTCTGACTTATAATCTACCATCGTTCTGCGTAGCGGTGTGGATAAACAATACAAGTGTGAGTGACAAATCAAAGTAAACGGCGGATAACAGTACGGAGTACTACAGGTGAAAGGAACGTTGTGACAATCTTGAGAACCCTGGCTCTTGGACTTTTAGGGGCTCCTAAAATTCATGTCACATCGAATGTTTAGATACTAATAAGAGATATTAAATATAGATTAATTATAAAACCAATTATATAGATGGAGGCTAATTTACGAGACGATTTTTTTAAGCCTAATTAATCTATCATTAGCATAGGTTTACTTTAGCAACACGTTGTCAAATCATGGACTAATTAGACTTAAAAGATTCGTCTCATAAATTATTCGCAAGTTGTGTAATTAGTTTTGTAATTAGTCTATATTTAATATTCTATGCATATGTCAAATATTCGATGTGACAGGAATTCTAGGAGACACTGCCGTAACAAACAGGCCCTACCACATTAATTTGAGCTAAATCTAACGGTCACCCGAGTGGTTTATGGACGTCCCTCACTCGATTTCAGAGCCATCCGATCTCTCTGTCTTTTTTATCTGCCGCGTCTGTTTCTTTCCAGTTTTTCCTCTGGCCTACTGTAGAGTACATGCAGCAGATAGGAGTACGAGCTGGAAGCTGGATGCAGCACCGCTCTTCCAGGGACCGAGGCATGCAGCACCGCAGACCAAGTAGCTGGCTCAGCTAGGTGCCTAGGCCGTAGGCAGGGCAGCACAGCACAGCATGCGACTGCTGGCTCGGCCACATCCTCTCACCTCGGCCCCTGTGCCACGTTGCGTACAAACAGCAACTGTGGGGCCTTATCATAGTTTGTATATGTATGCATGTAATTTTATTTCTTTAGTAGAAGCAGATTATATCTTATTAGACTATATTTTACTATTTCTGGCTAGGGGTAAGTTCTATGATAAATTAGTGTAAATTGATTATTGGTATATGAGAATGGTCATAATTATTTGATCAATTATCTGATAATTTTTTGTCTTTTTTATATTTTTCTGTATGTCGTACTCCGTATTTGTTTCTCTTTGAAATTTTCAATTTGGTTTCCATAAAAATAATCTGGCTAATTTTTATTTTATCTGTTTAATGTTTTTGTATTGTATTATTTGATTTTGATTCATTTGATCTGGATCCAATACTCATGAAGTGATGAATGGATCAAAAACACTCGATTACAGGCTCTACCTCCAATCGAGTGTTTTGGTTACCCGAGCGTTGGGTAGACCGACCCTTTGGGCCGCAGCCAAGCACATCAACGACTTGCATGTATTATATTCCACGCCCTCCCTGCCGTCCAAGTAACGAAGTTCATTGGGCACCAAACACAACCAAGCTAGCGTCCCAAGTTTATTTTTGTTTCATTTTTGGAACTTATTTTAGACTTCTTGCTCATTTGGACCTTTGCTACAAATATTGCAAAAATAGACTATTTCTACGGCGCTAAAACACATGACGACGTCCTTAGAAACATAGCAGGCATGATGCTATGATTTTCGAGCATGGCAGTTACGTGGCAGAGAGATACTAACAACGCCATGACAATCAGTGTCGCGTGTGTGCTAGCATGGTGCCAAAGGTCATGGTGCCGTGCTGCGGTTGTACATCGTTAAGAGACATGTAACGCCGTGCAGGGCCGGCTCTGAGGGTTTTTTTTAGGGTGCGGCGGGTACCACCGCCAAGGCCCCAGCCGGCCCAAACCTAGGTCTAGGTATATGTATGTAAATCCCCATAGGTTATAGTCCATTTATCAATAACAATAGCCTCGGAAGGTAAGAGTATCTCTAGGAGTTTTCAACAATTTTTTTTTTACAAAACTACGGAGTTTTTCAACTAGCTAAAAATTATTGCAAAAATCTCGGAAGGTAAGAGCATCTCCAAGAGTTTTCAACAATATTTTTTACAACACTACGGAGTTTTTCAACTCGCCAAAAACTATTGCAAAAAATAAATAAGACCCCCTCTAACAATTTTCAATAATTTACTCCTAAAATATAAAGGACAATTTTACATCAGAAATCCTATAATGTTTCTAAATTATTCTAACAACTTTTATATATTCGTTCTCTCTTATACATTTGCATCAGGAATCATTTCATACTCTTTATTCTTTTCCACACACTTTCATCTCTAGATTGGGCGATCGATACACGCGTGGGAGACATATGGATATATCCGCATGATCGGTCTATATTTCCAAGCGCGAAAAGATTGGGAGGTGGGTTTGTGAACTATTGGAGGTGGGTTTTTCATTCTTGTTAAAAATCCTAGATTGAGAGGCTTTATTGAGAACTCTTAGTGATGCTCTAAGTCGACGTCGATTCAGATTCTCGAAGAAATTCATGATCCCGACTCTCCAGTCTCCGCCTATTTGGCTGTTCCTCTTGAGACCTCAAGACACTCCCAGTGAAATATTAATGGTAGTTTTTATTCCTATTAATTGTCCTGCCAACTAAGTAAATATCTGACGTGGCAATCTAATCAACCAAGAAAGAAAAGGAAATTTGATGAAACCGTTTGTTAGAAGAGAAACCACGGCCAGTTTAGTTGCCGAAAATTTTGGCAAAACGACACTGTAGTATTTTCGTTGTTATTTGGTAATTAGTGTTCAATCATAGTCTAATTAGACTTAAAAAATTCGTCTAGTAGATTTCGTCTAAACTGTATAATTAGTTTTATTTTTTATTTATATTTAATACTTCATACATGCGTTCAAAGATTCGATGTGACGGAAAGTCTTAAAATTTTTGCGTTATAGAGGGGAACTAATCAGGCTCCACGTCTACTCGTCAACCGAGGCACGAAGAAATTGCTACTTCCCGTTGGGAGGAAACGAGTGGTTTCTACCGTTCCTCATCCGCGCTCGCCGCGACGCCGCCGTCGCCCGGGCCGCGCTCGCCGCGCCGTCGTCCGCAGGCCACACCGCTATCGCCCAGGCCGCTCGCGTCCGCACAGCGGCACAGGCCGCGCAGGTCGCGCCGCCATCGCACAGGCCTCGCAGCCGCGTAGGTTGCGCCGTCGCTGCACAGGCCGCTCGCGTCCGCCCAGACCGCGCAGGTCGCTCCGCCGTCGCCCAGAACGCTCGCGTCCGCACAGGCCGCGCAGGTCGCGCCGCCGTCGCCCAGATTGCTCGCATCCGCACAGGCCGTGAAGGCCACGCTCCACGATGACCTCCATGGTGAGGGCGAGCACAAGCTCATGGCTGCTGGCTTGTGACCGGGCCCAGCTCGCTGACGACCAAGGAGTCAAGCTTGCCGCGGCCGGTGGCCCGGTCCCTTGCATCGCTGACGTCCGGTAGCCTCCCCTCCCACTAATCCTCTCACCTGCTCTGCTTGTGCGTCTTCTCGAGGAAGAAGAGCTGGAAACTGGTTGCGTGAACTTATCAACCGTACGTAGTCTCAGTAAAATAATAGTTTTTTTTTTCTCATATGTAAAAAGGGTCGAGATGTACGGCCTATTCATTTATTGATTTCAGCTAATCCAAATCAGTCAGTCAACAGTATTTTTTTTATACAACAAATCAGCATCAGCTAGTCCAAATTAGTTCAGAAACCAACCAACGAACATGCCGATACTCAGGACTCAGGAGGAAGATAGAGTTAGGAGAGAGAGGAAGAAAAAAAACAACATTTAATACACGAAGTGTGAAGTAGTTTTTACATATATTTCTTGGTGACGTGGCAGTTATGAAAATCGTGTATAATTAATACTGGCCTGAACGCAACGCCACCTAGCGATAGGATCGGTGATCGACGAATCATCGTCAGCCGTCACCCAGGGTTGAGCCGCTGCAGTTAGAGCCGGTCGTTCTGCAGGCTACAGTCTGCAGGGTCTGGACGTCTCGTATTGTGGCTGCAGTCTGCAGATTAAAATATTAATTCGACCTAGCCAAACCATCTAGGTACGATGTGTACTCAGCATTCGTTTTTAGAAAATTTACTCTATATTAATTGATAATAGTCTCATGTGGTGAAATGTTTTCCTTCTAATTTAGGATCCTTAGGTGTTGAAATTTTACAATGTTCCATAAGAAGCATTTGTCCAGGGCTCAGAATAACAAATTGAAACAAAAGACCAAGAAAGGATTCAAAGATATTGCCAAAAGAGAGCTTGTTCTACCTCTTTTTTCTGTTTTTTCATAGTTTTTCTTTTTTTCTTATACTTTTTCTTTTTATGTTTTCCTTCATTTTTATCTAGGGTCCAATAAACACTCGCTAATGATCAGAAACAAAGAATAGAGAAAAAAGTAGCAAGGAAAAATCCAAGAGAAAAGACAAGAAAAACTGGAAACAGGGTGTCGGAAGAATTTATTGTGGCAATACTAATCAACGTATTCGCGTACAGAGAATCAGATGACTAGCACACAAGACACATGGATTATACTGGTTCAGCCACGTGGTGCCCATACATCTAGTTTGATGTATCTCTCTGTATTCGTATGCTCAATTACAGGGGTTGCTGATTGTAGGTTGTGCTAGAATATAGTAGATTGGATCCTGATCGGGGGTTCCATACCCCTCCTTATATAGTCCGGGGTAGAGTTACGACAGATCCGATCAGTTAACAGATATGTTTCCTAGTTTGTTATATGAAAAGCATAACGAAATGATTCTATCCTATCTCCTAGATATGACGCCGCCGGATATCCTCGGAATGACTTGATCTCCAAGCCTATTGATGCACTCGACAGGCGTGGACCTCATTCCTCGTCGTCTTTGGCCATGTAGACAGGCATGGGCCAGATATACGGGCGCTGGGTATATCCCGGGCTCATACATCCGACAATAGCACTGTATGACTTAATGATAAGCTAGTCGAATGGTTGTACCCCGTAGGTGCTGCGGTCTTATGTAATGTTCGGGTGCCCACAAGTCTCGATTAGCATTTCTTGGGTGATGAGGCCTCTTTTAGCACCCCTCATGATAAGGTAAAAAAATGAGAATGAGATCCAAACTCTTGAACTCTAGATTGAGATTCTGGAATCCAGTTATCTACCCAAAACACACTATTTGGAGATTTTCACTATGCAAAGGCAATAGTCACTATGAGAATTAGATCCAAGCACCCCTCATCTTTTTATCCAGAATCTAGATTAAACATTTACTATCTAGAATCTAGAATCTCAGTATTAGGATGAGACCCAAACATGCCCTTGTTAGGGGCTACAAGTCTTTCCACTTGAGGCTTTGTAATCCCTAAAGGCAGGTTGAGATAAGTAAAAGGGAAAGTGTCTTTGGAAAAACAAAAGTTCTTGCCAAATGATATAATTTGTCCTCACCAATTTTAATGGGGACCAACATGCTCTTGGCATAATTTACTTTCAAGCCCGTGGAGTGAACAAAAGTATTAAGGGCATGTTTGGATCCCTTGGGCGAACAACTAGTTGCTAAACTTTAGCCCTGGAGGATTTAGACAGAGGGCTAATGAGTGGGCTAAAGTTTAGCCAAAGTCCCAACTAGTTGTTAGTTCACTAGTTCTTCAAATCCAGCTAACAAGTGTTAAAAGTGCTACAACTATCAAACATTCACATCTATCCCTGTTCTCTCTCCTCTCTCTACCGGCGCTCCGGTGCTCTGGCGTGGCCCCTTGCTCCAACGCGGCCCCTCGCTCCGACGTGGCCTCACTCGTCGAAGCAGCCTCGGGCTCCGACATGGCCCATGCTCCAGCGTGGTCCGTCACTCCGACGCGGACCCAACCTCCTCAGCCATGGCCCTGGTCACGGGACGGAGGTGCCATCCCTAGCCTTCGTGCGGCGCCCCTTGGTCATAGGCGGAGGTGTTGCCCCCCACCTCGATTGCAGCCTTGCAGGACAAAGCTCCTCTAGTGGCTGGTGGAGGAAGGAGAGGGAGATCCATGCTAAGAACCGGCAAAGAGAGAGGCAGCCGAGCGGGAGAGGTTGAGGGGATTGAGTGGGAAGAGAGAGATAAATGACACTTTTGTATTTTCATTGTTCTCTAGGTGAATGTTAGTCTGAGGATCAAAACATGTATACGGGCTAATAATTTGTTGGCTAATTTTTAGCTGATTATCTTTTAACCAAGACTAACAACTAGTCCTAGTCCATGCAAACAGACCCTAAAAAGACTTTTGAGGAAGAGGAGCTAGGGGCACAACTTTCGAGCATAATAAGTGTATCATCAACATATTATAAAAATGGAAAATCAATATTACGATGAAGAGGGAGAGGCAATCTCAGCAAGCCAAGTTCCTTCGCTTTGTTCAAGAGAGATTGAAGCAGATCTGGAGTAAGAAGATCCCCTTGCCTAGCACATCTACGATATTAAAAGGTTTTTGTGGGAACCCTTGAGCTAAACGTATCTTCCTCCATTGAATCCAAAGGGGGCCACGAACTGAGCGTAGCTCAGCTGGTTGAGTTCTTTGTGGTGGAACCTGTCCACCTGGATTAAGTCCCCGACTTGACATGGGTGCTTGTATTTTTCTGAATTTATTCCAGAATTTAACAGCGTTATTCTTTCAGTTGCTGGTGACATGCTCGTCGACAGCGAGATACATGTGGGGTGAGTGTGCGATCGTGTATGTGAACGTCTCCACGCTTGTCTCCCTAGGAGGGCAAGGTTAAATAATTCAAAATCCTTAAACCCCATCCCTCCCATTTCTTGGTTCTGCTGGGATGCTCATTCATTTCGTAACAAATTCTTTATGTGAACGTCTGCCTTAGTAACTGAGTCTCGCAAAACAAAAAAGAATCTAAACGGCACCAAAACATGAGACTCAAGCATACACAAGCAACGATTGGCCAATGCATGTAGGGATGAAACGGTCGACAACGGTCGGAAACGGTATTACAATATAGAAAACAAAAGCGGTCGGTTCGGGATATTTCTACATTTTAGCAATTAAAGAGTACAAAAAATGGTTGAAAATAGTTGCGAAACCAATTGAAAATGATAAATTTTTATGTTTGGCAAAATTCAGAAATGATATCATAATATAGAAAACGGTATGGTAATATAGAAAACGAAAGTGGTCGGTTCAGAATATGTCCGTACCGTTTTCATCCTTAAACGCATGCATGAGGCAACAACTTGGGCTGCGGTCCGTGGGCTACGAATGAAACTGTTGACACCTTAGTTCGCGTCATATTTTATAGAGACGGAGCTATTTTGATGGGCCGTGCGAAGATCAGGATCAGAGCGGAGGCCAGGCTTCCAGGATCAAGGTCGCTGTTTCTATTTGTAGCAGGAGCATGGCTGATGGGTGTGAAATGTGTACCATGTCCTCTGCTTGCAGCTCCAAGACGAAGACGACCTGACCTACTTTCCGGCCTCTCGTGTCTCGTCGTTTGGTCGACTCGATCCATCGCCCACCGGTTTCCTTTGCCGGTCACGCACGGGTCAGCCGTAGCAAATCTTGACTAACTGGAGACCTACTACGGTGCGCTTGCATGCAATGCAGGTGCGGTCATCTGTCATCTCACGAGGAAAAGTTACGGCCCGTTCGTTTCGGTTGAAAAGATTTTGTATTATTACTGCCGATCGATTTAGTGTGAAAGAAAAATACTGTTCTGATTTATAATCCACGATCGTATACGAACAGGTTACTTCCAACGCACTGGCTTGCTGAGCGTGTACACTGAAATTACTAGCTCCGCCACACAAATAAATGCCCTTCTTTTTTATGCTGCTTTGTGATCTGATGCCTATAAATACGGCCCCTCCAAGGTCACTCACAGTCATCAGAGCAATCGCTGCCGGGCACAGCGCGATGGCGTTCTCCAGCAAAACCACCCGTCTCCTCGTGCTCCTGCAGATCGCTCTGTTCGTCGTCTCCACGCTGTTCATGCCGCGCTCCGTCTGCCATGGAGCCCGAGGCGTTGGTTAGCTACTCTCTGAACTGCTCATCATTTGTTCGTCTTGTGGCATCTAATGACGGATCATATATTTATTCATTCATAGTACTACCTTAGTCCCGTTCGGCTGGAGGAATTATGAAGGAATCTAAATAAATTTGGATGAATATAGAGAAATTTATAAGAGAAAAATACTGTTCTGGATAAAAAAAGAATGGATTAAACCAAATTTAAAGACACGCGAACAGAGCCATATATATATTTATGCACTTTCAGGGCCAGGTACCATTGGTTACGGGCCTTTCGACCCAAACCGTCCTGCGTGCCTTGGTGGGCGGTGCCCCCGCCCTGGTGGCGGCGGGCCCTACACGAACCGCCCTGGTGGCGGGCCTGGTAGCTACTATCCTGCCAAACCCGCTGCACCTTCGAACGGAGAAACCTCAAGTCCTTGATCGCTGCCTCCTCAATAATCACGTAGTACTAATGACAGGGCCATAGAGCCAGGTTATGATTCAAAAAAACAAAAAAAATCACGTAGTACTCGTATGGCACGGTAAAGAAAATGTTGGCAACTACTAGTACATCCGAGATGGATATGATAGTGCAATCTTGGATCATGAACGACTATCAGCATGTTCGGTTGGCTGGTTCGTTTCGTTGCTGATTCGTAAAGAAGTATTGCTGGCTAATTTGTATGAGAGAAAATACTGTTTCAGCTAAAAATTTACGATCATTTACGACAAGCCTACAATATAAGCTGATAACACGGTACCGTCTCGTGTACCTGTGTTTTACAGTACTGTATACGAATAAAGCTGCAGTCCGTGAATGGCATGCTCTTGTACTCAGTGTCGTTCTGGCTTCTTCTAGATATACATAACTTTCATTACGTATTAAAATATAATATATATCTAAATACATAGCAAAAGTTATATATTGAGAAAAAGCCAAAACAACCTATAATTTGGAATGAACAGAGCAATAGACAGTGGCGATGCTAAAGCAAATGAGAGAGGACTACATAGGCTTCTATCACAGGAAATACATATATGATAATATTTTAGATATAATCATTGATTTAAAACTTTTGAGAGGACCATGTATTTGCACCCCCTAGATACTGATGAACAGCATCTGCTAATGGAGTTTTGAAATAAAGATAAAACAAATCAATTAGTGTCCATTTGCACTCATATTTATCTTGTCATATATAATTTTGTGTTTACGCCTTTTATCTTCAGAATACACAGTTTGAAATTCTAACTCTGCCACAGGTTTTTGATTGTGTATAAACCACATGACACCTATATGGCCTCGTCTCTATGTGTACATAGACTGCTAGTGACCTTTATGCTGGAGGCCCGTTAGGTGTTCAGTCGCTCGAGAATAAATATCCTTTTAGCCCATGTACGAATCCTGTTCTCATTATAGATCATTTGCCTCTTCGTCGCATCCCTACAAATATTTGTATTTTGACTACAAATATATATTTTTTATTAGGAGTGTCCCACCAGTCATTTGTGTTTGCTCACTGCTTTGGAATAACTGAGAACCGATATCCCCAATGGAAGCTGGAGTTGCATGTTTTCTTTTTGAAGTTTAGATATTATGGTCATGTTGCCGTACTTTTTTAGCGAATGAACAGTGTTTTTCTCTCACAATAAATCAACGAATAGTACTTTTAGCCATAGCTTTTCAGCGAAACGAACATAGCCTATACATAAATTGATAAAGACCAGAGTACAGAGACCGGAAAGTAGTAGTCATTACATATTTGTAGCACATTGCTACAATAAGTAACACTTTTTTTTAGATTACGGAATAAAATATTCCAGCCTTCACATTCACTGGTGAATGCTTAGGTCTTAAACATATAAGGAAGGGACTAAGCCCAAGTTTCCGCTAGGCAGACTGGCCTGACAATCACCTGTGACCTTACATCAGAAGGCAACAAAACAAAATGTCCAAAACTCCACTGAACGCAAACCACACACACAACTAAACTCCCAGCTTCAAAAGAAGGCAAAACAAAACAAAAGCGCATTATACTCCGATCCTCTTGAGATTCTCCCACTCACTGGAGCCAAAGAGTTGTAGCGCCACGCCTTCTAAACGTGTGCATCCCTCTTTCATCATTCTTCCCTCTTCCTCTTTAGACAGCTGTGACCATTGCCTGATCCAAAAAGTTCCCCTGAAGATTACCTACAAGTGAGAATTAGTAACTAATCTTTGGAACACCGCATCGTTTCTATTCAACCATAAGACCCAACATATGGCCGCTACTCCCACTATTATCTGGCTTCTTAGCCCTAGAGCAAATCTTCTTATCCAAGATCCAAACATATGAAAAGTACTTCTTGGTGGTTGAAAGTTAAAGGTGATAAACAACGTGTTCCAAACAAATCTAGCCACACGACAATTGAAAAAAAGATGTTGAATATTTTCTTCCAAACCACAAAAATCACACTTACAATCTCCTTTCCATCTTCTCTTTAATAAATTATCTTTTATTAAAATCACCCCTCTTTTTAAGTACCAAAGGAAAATTTTAATTTTCAACGACAATTTTTCTTTCCAGAACACCTCTTTCTCTGAAAGTTTCTCCCTTTTCATAATCTCTCTATACATGGACTAAGTTGAGAACACTCCATTTTTCTTTATTTGCCAAATGAAGTTATCACTGTCATTGTTTAGATTTACCGGTAGCACTAGCGAGACTAGCTTAAGCCACTCTTTCAGTCTCTCCCCCACTATTCCCTGCCTGAACGAGACATTCAGCGGAGTCGAACTAAGTACACTGGCTATCGATACCCCTTTTTTCCTTACTATCCTGTACAGATCCGGGAACAGCCGCATTAGCGGTTGTTGATCAACCCACACGTCTTCCCACAATCTCGTTTGGTGACCACCATTGACCCTGAACCTTCCGTGTTGTAGTAGCAATTCCTTCACCTCCATCAGACCTAACCAAAAATGTAAATCTCCCGGGCATTTTTCTATTTGAGACAAGCATTTGTCTTTGATGTACTTCTTTTTAAGTACCTCCTACCATAATCCATCTTCATTAAAAAGCTTGAACAACCATTTACTAAGTAAACATTTGTTCTAAACTTCCAAATCTAATATCATGAGTCCCACCATGCACCTTGGTTTACAGAGTATACTCCACTTTGCCTACCTATACTTCTTTTTGTGTTCATCACACTGCCAGAAAAACCTGGATCGATAGTAATCTAGTCTTTTTCGTACCCCTTTAGGGATAGCAAAAAAGGACATCATGAACATCGTATACTTGACAGGACCGAGTTAATCAACACTAACTTGCCCCCCGAGGAAAGAAGCTTACCTTTCTAGCTACTAAGTTTCTTCTGAAAGTGCACTTCTATTGAACTCCAATGTTTGTTCGAAAGTTTTCGATAGTGCATTGGGATCCTGTGGGGGGTATGACCCTGGATACCCATGGCAGACCACATGGGCTGCGCCCCTAGGGGCGGCCCAGCCCACAAGACAAAGCCTTGCGGGGCACGACGTTGCTCGGCGTCTCCCACAAGACACCAGGAAGATATCATGAAGATACTACGAGATCTGTTAGGATACGTATGATCCTATGATTCCTGTAATCTGTTATTACTTTCCGATTACCTCCTAGATCTAACCGACTTATAACCCTGCCCCCTGAACTATATAAGGTGGGCAGGGACCTCCTCCAAACTCACGTAATATTATACGATAGCCAATACAATCCAACAGACCACAGGAGTAGGGTATTACGTCATACTGATGGCCTAAACCTATCTAACTCATGTGTCTCTGTTGTCTTCTTGTTCTTGATTACATGTCTCTCTGCCGATCAATCTACCTTCGTGGGATACCCCTCGGAGGACTGTCGACGATATTCTATCGACAGTTGGCGCGCCAGGTAGGGGTGTGCGTGCTATTTCTATATCGAACAAGATGGTACGTTCCATAGGCTCTTCGTCCCTCCCGTAGCCCGGCTAGATCTTCACGGTCGGATCGATCTCGTGGATCATCAACGCTGACGGAGTCAGAGAGCTCATCGAGCCGGGGCAGATTGATTCTGCACCGATCACCCCAACACCTGCGACTACAGATCCGATCTTGAAACCACCTCCGAGGTCGCCTTCACCGACAATTCGTCGCCCGCTCCCTCGCCGACCAGACGTTCTGTCTAAAGCTAAGTCACACTTTAATATTCTTCTAAATATTCTCTAATCTTCGTGTATCACCATAATGTTTCTCCGAGCTGTTTTCTCTATGTTTGCTCTCCAAATGATTTTCCAAACCCCAGAACAGTCATGTTGATGCTCGGATGTCCCCAGAGACGGCCCTGTCTCCGGCTCCTCCCTACACATGCACGAGCATCTGCCCTCTGTGTTATGGGTGGTTGGCAGCGGTTCCTTAGCGACGCTTTGTTCTTCCTACACGCACACGGGCTTCACGCTTCGCGTTATGGTTAACGGGATAGCTAGGGCTGGAGACTCAGCTACACACTAACTGATCGGGCAGTTTGTATTAAATATAAATACATCTTCACACCAACCGATCACTGAGCTGCATACGTTATTTCATCACCATTGCTGATTCTTCTCCGGAGTTCATATATTTTTACATCATGTACTACCTGTTCTACATATTTGTATTGCACGATCATCGTCCAGGTGATCGGACCACCTGGTGCTCGGACTTCTCCACCGATCAACTAGTAGAACCTCTAGGTTCATGGACTTCATCGCCGACCAGTTGATCGGATTGTTCGCCGATCGCTTCTACTCGATGCTCACTTCACCGTCGACCAGTTGACCGGACTGTTCGTCGCTCGTGCTTCATCGCCAGTTGCACCAGGGACTCCTCTGTGCTCGGACATCGCCAGCTACGCCGGGGACTCCTCGGTGTTCGGACATCGCCGGCTACACCGAGGACTCCTCGGTGTTCGAACATCGACAGCTAAGCTGAGAACTCCCTCGATGGTCGGATCTTGCTATGCCTCATCAGTGTGCTATCAAGCTGCTCCATGCTGTTCGAATCAGGGTGCTGATATTGGACAGCACGTCTGGGGTCTTGATACGCGCATGCCAGATGACGTCGGCAAGCTTTCTTTTGTTGACTGTTGTTTCTGACCCTGGCACCATGTGACCACATCACCTACTGTCAGGCTCGAGGACTAAGCAGGCACACTTCACCTTGCGGTGAATGTGTTTTTCTCATTTCGAGGCTACGCCCGAGGACTGGCTGCCTGCTCGGCTGGTCTTCTACTTTTCTCCTACTTTGGACCCTGGCACCATGTGACTACGTCACCTACTGTCAGGCTCGGGGACTAAGTGGGCACACTTCACCTCGCGGTGAGTGTGTTTGCTTTATTCTGGAAGACTCCACGCCTCTTGAAGCTGAAGAAGACTATCTCCCTTTCTCGTGGTAAGACTCTAAGTGGGCA